CCTCGAAAACCCACTGAGGGTCGCTACGAGTTAGAACTGATTCAATGGCAGTGGGTTTGGGTTGTTTTTTTTTCCTTCCCCTGTATCATTTGCTGTTGAGGTAATTCCAACTCATGGCGACCCCCTGTATGTCAGAGTAGAACTGTGCTCCATGGAGTCTTCAATGGCTGATTTTTCAGGAGATCACCAGTCCTTTCTTCCAAGGTACCTCTGGCTGGACTCAAACTCCCAACCTTTTGGTTAACAGCTGAGTGTGCTAAGAAAATCTAAGAGTTGGGAGTTGCAGTACACCTGGCAGCTACCTTCCAAGCCTGGCTGCCTTCCCCCTCTCCCACACATATACCTAAAAATATAATCTCCAAAGGCACCACTGTGAAAAGCCACCTATTGGTTTCATGGTTCAGCCAGAGGAATTGTGCCCAGTTAAATGCAAACACCTCAGCAGGAGTAAAACAGTAAGTGTATCGACAATACTTCCATGTCCTCCAATTTATCAGACCTTTTCCCAGCAATACCAAGGGAAGATGTTTAACATGGAAAAGAGGAGGAAGGACTATTCCAAGTACATGACTAAGAGATGTCTAGAGGAGAACAGGATGCTTTGAGGTAGGGAACGGGTATCAAGAAACATCTGAACCCCAACCTGCTTCTGAATGGGACAAGCCTGGAGGTGCTGATCTGGGGATAGGGCACTTGGGGATCTTGAGTTAGAAAAGGCAAATACTCTCTCCCAAGACCAATTCTTTTTCCATAGGCAAATGCCACCCAGACAGTCAGTAGCAGAATGAAGATGGAATTTAAGATTCTGGAGTTAAAACAATAACCAAACATAAAAACGGCCAAAACAAACACACCATGTTGTTAGTGGGTAGTGATGGCAATTTATCCCAACCTATAACCCAAGTTATTAAACCAAGTTAATGTCAAGTCTGTGTTGATTTCATGTCACAATACATGATTTCAGCAAGTATGTCAGATCCCAATACTCTCCAGGTAGAATTAGGACTGCTAGGTAAATTGTCCTATAATAAAAGAATGGGACATTAAAGAAAGCTGTGCCTCTAACCAGAGTCTCTTATAGTTTACGCTTTCCTGGCTTAAGTACCCATTCATTTTTCCCCAAAAAAATCTTTGGAAAGGCTTATAGAAAATATCTGGATGCCACCTCACAACTCTATAATCTCCTAATGTGGATCCACCTCTTTCTCTGCTGAAAATAATGCTCATTTCCATTGCTTCTACAGATGCACAAAAGTACAGACCATTCTCCATCTGCCGAGCTCAAAAGAAAATCAAACCACTGCCCTCAAGTCGATGCCAATTCATGGCATACATGTGATGGGTCCACAGAACTCACCAATAATCCAAACAGCTCAGTCTTGAGGTACTGCAACCTCCTTTCCTTGAATAAACCAAATACTGAATTAGAGTAGTTAAGGGTGAGTAAAACAACAGATGGATTCCTGTTTTACTACCCTCTCCATAGTCTAGAGACGGGGCTGGGAAGCAAATGTAAAAAGGAGAAAGTCCAAGTGGGCAGCTGGATGGGAGAGGGTGAGGTGAAAAGCCCAAGATCCCGATCAACACTGGGCTCAGAAAGCCATCTGGAGGGTGATGACAGTCATAGACCTTTGCCCTCCAAACACTGCACATTGATACAGCATGTTGCATAAAATCTCAAGAAGCTCAGGAGCCCTTTGGTGCCCATTCAATGGACCTCAAGTGTAAAGGAGCCCTGGTCTAATTTCTAGAATTTATCCATCAATGTATTTGTCCACAGACATACATGTACAAATATCCTCTCTGCCGCACTATTTGTAACAACAAAGTTTGAAAACCACCTAAAGGGCCCCCAAGAGTGAACCAGTTAGGTCACACCACAGCCAAACAAGAATGGGCTAGATCTGTGGATGCCCCATGAAACAAATACCACAAGTACTGTCGAGTGACAGACACAAGGCACAGAACAATGGCCAAGCAGCACTGTAGAAACACACAATTTCTAATGAATAAACAAGAAACGAAAATCAATGTGTCCGGGATGGGAAACTGGCCATACAGGGCTTGAACGTGGAAGAAAAATTACTTACTGTTAAGCCATGCTCTTACTTTTTAAATTAACCCAGCCCACTGAAAAACTAGTTGGAGATAAATACATAGTTGGGTGGATGGAAGAAGGAAAGGATGGGTGGATACACGGGAAGAGAGATGGATAACTTTCAAAGAACTTCCGGGCCAGCTAAGTCACAAAATATTCCCAGCCTTAAGGCGTAAAGCATTTGGCACTAAGATCATAAATAGGAAAGTCTCGTAAATGCTTCTCGCCCAGCTCCGGCCTCAGCTGCTGGCTGTTCAGAGCAGCTGAACTTTCTCTCCCACAGTGTGGCTTTTCCTCTTGCTGAACCAATTACGGGACATTAGAACAGCAGCGCCAATATTATTTTTTAAAGGCTGATGTTATTCACTAAATACCCATTAAGCCAATCTCCTTGCTCCATTTACAGCACGCTTAAGGGCAAATCCAGATGGTACAAATAATGCAGATTGGGGCTGGATCTGCAGGAGGCCAGTCATCAAATAGCCATCATCGGCTGTAGTGTCTGCCACTGCCTGACACCCACAGGTGTGTCCAGGTGAGAAGAACAGTGCCCTTTCAAGAGAAGGCTGGGCTCTCTCAGTCTCAGCAAACCATCTTCACACTCTCCCAAAGGCTACGTTTGCCTTTGTGTTGGAACAGTTAGCAACGGCTAAGGAGGGTTGCTTGGTAACCTGGTAACAGGCTGTGCCTAGGTGTTCTTAAGCCAGGGACAAGATCACATCTTCCTCCCACACAGCCCTCACTTACCATTAACCCTAGACTGGCCAAGAAGATCCACAGCAGTTCCAGATGGTTCTCCGACAGAGCCAACCCCGACTGGCCCCATCCTTCCCATGCCCCCATTGAAAAGGCTGACCCAGTGGATCATGACTTCCTAACATTTTTTCAGCTGACAGGCACTGAACATCTCCCATGGCCTTGAGCATAATATACAGTATAGAATAAAATCTAGCCAATTTTTTCATCTAGGAGAAGGTTCAGAATCGAGAATATAAAGTCTTTGAAGAAGCATACCAGAGCCCCTGCACAGTACTAGAGGAGTCCCTGGGTGGCACAAACGGTGAACTCACTTGACTGCTAATCACAAAGCTAGAGGTTTGAGTCCATACAGAGGTACCTCAGAAGAAAGGCCTGGTGATCTGCAATGAAGCAATCAGTCATCGAAAACCCTACAGAGCACAGCTCTACTCTGAGGCACATGGGGTCACCAGGAGTCAGAGTCAACATGAAGGCAAATGGCACTGCAGCACAGCAGTGATGGTGACCATTTACAGAAAGGCCCCTGGCCCAGTGTTCACAGTTGCAGCATGAAAATAGCAAGCTTCCCTACGGTACAGCACACCAACCGGCTCACGAACAACAGTCCTTGACTGCACTCCCACAAAAGGAAAGCAGAAGATAACCCGCCAGGAAACCCCAAACACACTGCCGCTGAGTGGATTTGACTCACAGCGACCCCTCCTTGGGTTTCTGAGGCAGTGTCACTACCGAAGTAGATCACCCCATCCTAAGCCATTTTAATTGGGGTATGAATGGCAAGTGTGGTTGGAGGCAGGGGCAGCTCTGTCTCTCTAACCCTCTATTACTTGAGCCTGTGTTATGAATTTTTATTTTCTGATTATTTTCCACAGAGGAAGTTGCAGGAGGCAGAAAGGATTAACCCAAGTGGAGAAGATATTCGAGTCCCCATGAATAATTCACTCTGGACATAATCTGAACCAGGGCTTTGCACCGGATCATTCCAGTTCAAGCTCCTGCTGAGAATTTGCGTTTCCACCCCAGATAAACTGCATCCCCAAGTGATTCTTGGAGATCTTGTTAAAATGTAGATTCTGATTCAGTATATCTGGAGTGGAAATGCAAATTCCCAGAAGGGAGTTGAACCAGAATGAACGGGCTCAAAGTCGTGATCTGAGCACAGATAACTGAGAAGTGGCTGGGGGTAGCAGTAACTTTTTTCACATTTATTCTCCCAAAGGTCTGAAGAGCGTCTCAGCCCAGATATGGTGAAAATACCAAATTAAAACGCCAGCACGGAAATGTGAACGGACTGTTCTCCCTGAAGTCACTAATGTGGACACAGTAACCAGCCACCAATTTCTTTCTCCTCCAGTCACTCAAGAGAGAACAGGAAACAGTGAGCACTCTATGCTATTGTCAAAATCATTTGCCTGCTTTTAGTTCCAAGACCACGGTCTACCAAAGATGTGGGGGAAAAGAGGGGCGAACACACCACAGAGCCCCGGGGCTTACAGGTCAGATGTGGGACTTCTATATGAATAAGCAAAGAACGGGCAAGGACAGGGAGGGTCTTACCCCAATGTGGGGAAACAGTGCAGTCTAGTACATCTTCAACTCCTTGGTGGGCAGCAGTCCAGGCTGCCTACTCCTCCGCCTTCACCCCCCAGAGAATTAGGAGTTGCTATCTCTGATTGCTCTAAGAGCAAAGGCAACACTTTGCTGTCAGTATTTTCAGCTTTTCTGGCTCAAAACTGAATCAGGATGAAAGTGTCAGTTTCCCAGAGGAGTTAAAAAGATCAAAAATGAAAAAGCTCACTCAGGATGCATCAGCGAGGGGAGAATGGAGGCACAAATGCCCACGCTTTTTGACCCAATCAGCCCACTGCCCATCAGAGTGACCCCGACCCACTGGAGTATGGTGCCCCACTCTGGGAAACAATGATCACAAGCTACTTTTGCCTCCTTCACACTAAGCAGGTGGTTTGGAGGACAAATGAGAAGTGAAGGCGTGTGGCCATACACCAGCTGAGCCCTGTGCAATGGCAGGTACAGCCCATGGAGAGCCAAGACAGAACATCTGACATTTCCCCCTTCCTTACTCTTACAGCCAGGTCAAGTCTCACTGTCTGGCTTGGCTGGGGGTCTACAGCAGGGAGCTTGCCTGAAAGAAGCCCAGCTCTACCTATCCGGATGGAAAGTTCACTCTCGGGAAAGGGCAGCGCAGGACCCTCAGGGTCGGACTTCTTCATCAGCTTAGGGTCGAAGTTCAGTGCCAAGACTGTCTGAGGGTCTTCTGCTGCACCCTGAAACAAGAAACAGTGGAATCATTATATCACCTCCATTAGTGAGACAGGTAAGGAATAGGGCTGGCTGAATCAAGTAGCCTCTGACTCCTTATTCTTGTTTCTGGTGACAGAACTGCTTGCTATTTACAAGCCATGCCCTAAGGCAAGATAAGGTACATTTCAAAAGCCCCCCAAGTTTTATCATTGTAAAATGCTGATACACCTCCTGAGTTGTCCTTCAAGTACCTCACCAGGTGCAGCACATGTGCAGTAAAATTCAACCTGACCAACAAAGTGGCCTTCCAGCAGAGGCAGTCAAGAATAACAGTCCTTGCTGGGACTCAAACCAAGGTCTAGAGACATCACGCAGGGGCAACATTCCAGAATAAGTCATGTCAAGCATCCCATCAGCCTTCGTGGAGGATTCCATCTTTGATATGACAACCTCTGCAGTGGAATCCATCTTGGCTACTTCCCACACCCACATCTGATCTTCATAACTCCACCCATTTTGTGAATAAAGATGATGCCTTCCCCACACATACACTGCCTAAAACCCTTTATAAACCTGAAGGCTAGCACAGTGGAAGCCCCTCTCCATCTGTCCTTTCTCTTTAATAAACTTTGGTTCATGTGGACATTTTGCCTCTCCTGTTCAATTCTTTTGTCAGTAGAAGGCAAGGACCAACCCCCACCAAGAAAAAAGAAAATCTCCCTTCATGTCCCAGGCCACCCTGGCTCATGGGTCCCAAAGGCAACTTGTTAGCCTTTACCAAGGGCACCAGGACTAAGCCAGTCCTGGACTAGACCCAGGTGTCAGGCCAGGCAGGGTCATTAGGAAGACAACAAGCCTTCTGAGTGTAGTATTTTCCATGTGAATCCAAACTTACTGCCATCAATATTCCGATGCACAGCAACCCTATAGAACAGGGCAGAATGGCTCCATAGGGTGCATTCTCACCCCAGATATTCTGAATCAGAATCTAGACTTTGTTCTGACTCACAGCAATCCCCACTGGGTTTCCAAGGCTGTAACTCTTTACAGCAGATTGCGACATCTTTCTTCCCAAGGAGCACTGGTGGGTTTGAACTGCTACCCTTCAAGTTAGCAGCTGAGTGCTTTAACCACGGTGCCACCAGGGCTCCTTAAGAAAAGGCAAGTAGAAAGGATCAATACACTGGGCAAAGAGCAGCAGTTATTTTTTGAAAGTCAGGGAAAACTAACGCCAGACAAACAGTTAAGTTCTCATTTAAAGAATATGGCTTTGAAGAAGGCTTATAATCCAATCACTGATATGCTTCCATTTGTAAGAAAATACCAGGATTGGGGTTTTAGGGGTCAGTTTATTTTATGAGGAGTCCCTGAGTGGTGCAAACAGTTAAGCACTCAGCTACTAAGTGAAACAGTGGAGTTCAAATCCACCCAGAGGTACCTTGTGAGGGAGGGGTGGTGATCAACTCCCACAAAGCCACAGGCACAGGAATCCCTACGGAGCACAGGTCTTACCATGAAACACACGGGGTCTCCATGAGCCAAGATCTACTGCATGGCAATGGGCTTTCTTTCATGAAGGAATCTCACAAAAGTTAACACACACACACACCCCTTGTCTTCCCATTATCATAATGGTCAGGGATAAGAAAGACAACCTGATGATTCAGACTTTTTATTTCATCATTTCTTTTCAAATAAATGTTAAAAACGATACATAGATCCTTCCTCTCCTGTCTTCTCATTTGTCTAACACATTGTTATGGTCCTAATCATCTATTTGCAATATGCTCTATAATATAGCTTAATAATAGTGCCAGCACCTCATTTCACAGTATTTAAATAGAAAAAGAAGCCTCCTGGCACTGCTTCAGCCACCCTCATGAAAGTGCTCAGGGTCCTCTGTGGAATCCTAGGAGCTGCAGGAATTTTGCCTCTTCTATCACTGGGGTTCCTCCTGATCTATCACTGGGGTTCCTCCTGATAACATGACCAAAGCATGAGAGGTGCAGTCCTCACCTTTAAGGAGCATTCTGACCGCATTTATTCCAGGACAGATTTGTTCATTATTCCGACACGTTATCAGGAGGGGCCAGTCCCTGGAGGACATCATGTTTGGTAAAGTGCTGGGTCAGCAAAAAAGAGGAAGACCCCCAAGGAGATGGACTGACACTGTGGCTGCAACAGTGGGCCCAAACACAGCAATGACTGTGACGATGGTGCAGGAGCAGGCAGTGTTTCCTTCAGTTGTACACGGGGCCCTCTAAGTTGGGACCAACTCAACAGGACCTGACACCAACAACATTCCTGAGGAGAAGCTCAGAGGCAACCTGTCACGACGTATCATGGCCAAGGCTGGTACTGCAGATGTACGGAATCCTGGGGCCAGAGCAGTCTTTAGAAGGCCAGCCTCTCCCTCTGCAGAAATGCCCTCTAGTCATCCTCGAGTGACAGACAGCTGGTACCTGTGCTAGATGCCATGGGTCATGGAGATGTGACTTTTGTTTGTTTATATATTTTAATTATTTCTAATTCTACACTACATGCTGACATCTGAGGAATCAATGAGCAACAAAAGACATGTCTCACTGTCAGAGCATGTCAACTGATCTTCCTCCTTCTTTTGTTTTCCTTCTTTTTCTAATATGATTGATACATAACTGGGGGAAGGATATAGAAAGACAACCACTTCATTACTGTAGACATACTGCAGCATTAATATGCTCTAAGCCTCATGGTTTATGTAACTGGAGCCCATTTAGTCAGGTGCAGTTTGTACAAACCCTGGCTTCAATTCACAACAGTGGTTCTCAACCAAGAGCAATTTTTGCCACCAAGGCAATGTCACAACTAGGGAGGAGGGGCTTCTACTATCATCTAGTGAGCAGAGGCCAAGTTTATTCTTAGACATCCTACAATGCACATGATAGCCCCCAACAACATAGAATGATCCACCCCAAATGTTAATAGTGCCAATGTGAGAAACCCTCCTTTAGAAGGATTTAGGATAATCAGGACTCCAAAGCTCTCTGTAATACTTGAAATGCTAGGAACTCACAGCCCCTCTTTTCACTGTAAAGATAAGAATGTTGTTATTTTTCTCTGGGAAGCTTGCCTTCATATATTCAACAGAATTTTTATTAAGTACCAACTGTGTACCAGAGCTCTCACAGGTACTAAAGATAATAGCTAAGTCCACTATCCTCACAAATCTTACATTTTAATTTGAAAGACAGACAATACATTAATAACAAGCCAATCTATGATAAATTATATCACAGAATGCCAGGTGAATACATCTTCTCTGAAGTTCACGGCAGAACCAGTAAAGATGTAATAGGTACTGAGTTCCAGCTTTTGAGCATTTCATGCATGCTAGTCCACTGCACCTGGGAGCTCTGGTTGCATAGTACGTAAGGCATTTGACTGCTAACCAGAAGGCTGGCAATTCAAACCCACCAGCCACTCCCCAGAAGGAAGGCTGGGCAATTTACTTCCGTAGTGATACTGCTTTGGAAACCCAAGGAGGGGTCACTATGAGTTGGATCCGACTCCATGGCAATGGTTGCCCTTTTTTTTTTTTTTTTTTTTTTAGCCCACTGCACCATTCTAGCAGGTGGCATATGACTAAGACCCAGTGGTACTGAAGGAAGAAGTCCAAGCTGCACTGAAGGAATTGGTGAAACACAAGTTTCCAGGAATTGATGGAATACCAACTGAGATGTCTCAACAAATAGAATGCTGGAAGTGCTCACCTGTCTAAGCCAAGAAATTTGGAAGACAGCTACATGGCCAACTGAATGGAAGAGATCCATACCTGTGCCCATTCCAAAGAAAGATGATCCCACAGAATGAAGAAATTATTGAACAATATTACTAACATCATAAACAAGTAAAATTTTGCTGAAAATAATTCAGAAAATGGTTGCAGCAGCCCTGGCCATTGACAGGAATCTACCAGAAATTCAAGCCACATTCAAGAAAGGATGTGGTCCAAGAAATTATCAGTGCTGACGGTCAGGTAAATTTGGCTGAAAGCAGAGAATACCAGAAAGATGTTTACCTGTTTTTTATTGACTATGCAAAGGCATTCAGCTGTGTGGATCAAAACAAATTATGGATAATATTGCAAACAATGGGAATTCCAGAATATTTAATTGTGCTCATGTGGAACCTGTACATAGACCAAGAAGCAGTCAATTGAACAGAACAAGGAGATACTGCGTGGTTTAAAATCAGGAAAGGTTTTCACCAGGGTTGCATCCATTACCACACTTATTCAATCTGTATGCTGAGCAAATAACCCAAGAAGTTGGACTATATGAAGAAAAATGCAGCATTAGAATTGCAGGAAGACTCATCAATAACCTGTGATAGGCAGACGACACAACCTTGCCTGCTGAAAGTGAAGATGAATTGAAGCACTTACTGATGAAGATCAAAGACTACAGCCTTCAGTATGGATTACATCTCAACATAAAGAAAACAAAAACCTTCACAACTGGACCAGTAAGTAACATCATGATAAACAGAGAAAAGATTGAAGATTGAAGTTGTCAAGAATTTTTCTCAGATCCACAATCAACACCCATAGAAGCAGCAGTCAAGAAATCAAATGATAAAAAAAGACCAGGTTTGCAGGCCTGGTGAAACCCCTGAGACTATAGCTCCTAGCTGCCAACAATGTCTCCCAATTAAGGGAGAACAGAGGGGCAATGTAGGCATAGGGGGGCAGGAGTGCATGAGAAGGAAGGACACAGGGAAAAGATAACTACTGGGAGGAGTGAGAAGAGAGCTGTTACATTGTGGGAAATTGCAGCCAATGTCATGAGACAAAATGTGTGTGAACTGCTGTATGGGAAATGAATTTGCTCTGTAGACTTTCACCCAAATCACAATAAAAATTAAAAAAGAAAAGAAAAGAAATCAAATGATGTATTGTGCTGGGTAAATCTGCTCCAATAGACCTATTTAAAGAGCAAAGATTTCACTTTGAAGACTAAGGTGCTCCTGATCCAAGTCATGG